ATAAATGCACTTTTAAGCTCACTTTGGGGTTGTTTGGGATGTCCTAAATAAGTGCATTTTTTTGACTTTTTGGACTAAAAAATTGAGGAAAAAAATATGATTGTTTAAGTTAACTTACTTTTTGATTTTTTATGGAAAAATATGTATTAAAAAATTGTATAAATTAGTGTGTAGGGAAAAATTAGGATTGAGAGTTGTGTAGCCGTAATTTTTTACTTTTGGTGAATAGTGATAACTTTTTAACTTTTTTAGTAACTTTTTGGCTTTTTTTCAACTTGCCAAACTTGGCCTTTGTCAAGTGACAAATTCACAAACTTTAAGCTCACTTTGTTAAGTAGCAAAATCAAACCCTTTGCAAAACAAACATGAAATTGAATTGTTCCAATTTGGGCAAACTAGTTTATACCTTGTGTGCACACATCATATAGTAATGCTAACCTAATAAATCGGAATAAGAACATATAATGTTGATAAAAATTATATCATAATTAGTAGAGGCCGATCTTTGATCGGGCAAGCGGGGGTGGTCAATTCATGACCTTCCCCTCTCGCACTCAAATTCCCGAGCTGAGGCAACTTTGGTGATGACGGACACGTGGCTTTTGACACAAGTCATGGGTTTTCTAAATTTTTCCAAAACAAAAATATTTAGGTGGGGACTCTGTATCTAGCAAAGCAGTTCAATTTTGACATTTTTTATTCTAAAATCAATTTTTCAAAAGATTTGCCGAATTTGGACTCTTTGGTGTTTATCAATTTCACATTGTACTTGTGAGATTATATTCAGAACCGCGAGAGTCCGAACTATTGGACTTATTTCAAACCTTCGAAAGGGAGCCCGAAAAAGTCAAGCTACAGTATTAAAGTAAGATTTTTGTAAAAGTACAAAAACTCAAATGAAATTTTGATTAAAATATAAGAGTGCTAATGAGCCAAGAAAAATAAAGTATAGCTGAATAATTAATCCAAAATTTTCAGTATCGCTCAAAAGACATGTATATATCTTCTATACTATTATCCATCTATTTTAACTATAATATATGTGAAGTCTTCTCATAGTATTGATATAAATATGTTTCATATTTTGAGTTCTCAAAATATCCCTATACTTGGTGTTTATGTAAAAATTATGTTAAGATAAGGATGAGATTTGAAACTGGTAAGAAAGGCCTTTTATCACTTGAGTAATGCATACTATGCGTGCATTTCTCTGTCATTATTTTTTTTTAGGGTAAATTACATTTACCTCCTCTAAGGTTTTTGACAAATACAGGGACCTCTCCTGTAGTTTGAATAATTACAGTAGCCTCCCCTACTTTACCCGACAATATCAAGATTCCCCCCTGCTGTCAAAAATCACTAAACGGTGTCACTTTTTCCTTCAGAAATTACTTTATTGCCCTCCCCTTTAAAAATATTAAAAAATGTTTTTGGATTGGAGGATAAGTTTAGAGTGTTTGGAACAGTATTTTTAGATTTATTTTTTAAAAATATTAAAAAATGTTTTAAAAAAAATTATTTTTTATTTTAAATATATAATTTTTATTTAAATATTTTATTTTATTTTGTAAATATTTTAATTTTTTAATTTTAATATTTTAAACTCAAAACACAATTTCACACTCAAATCGTAACCAAACACATAACTCAAAACTCAATTCAAAAATTATTTTCAAACCTCATAACCAAACACATAACTCAACACTCCACATTATTTTCAAAACTCTACATTCAAATCGTAACCAAACGCATAACAAAAAAATAAAATACTTAAAAATATATTTATAAAATAAAATAAAATATTTAAAATAAAAACTATATATTTAAAATAAAAATAAAAATTTTAAAATTTTTTAATATTTAAAAAATATATTTAAAATATTAAAAAAAATACAACACATAGATGTATGAAATATAATGCACATTAAAATAAATAAATAAATATTTAAAATATAAAACATTTACCCTAAAAAAATAAATTCAAGAAATTATTTCTAATTGAATTGTGATTCTATGAGTTTTGAAAAGATTTTTGAAAATTTCTAATTAGAATTGTGTATTTGGTTAACACTATGAGTTTTGAATTTTTTTTTGAAAATTTGTAATTGGAATTGTGATTCTAAAAGAGAACCAAACATGTTTCTAAAAAAAAAAAAAATTCGGAACATGTTTTTATTACTCAAAACTCAATTCAAAAATTATTTTCAAACCTCATAACCAAACACATAACTCAACACTCCACACTACTTTCAAAAATCTTATTTAAAAACTCATAGAATCACAATTCAATTAGAAATAATTTCTTGAATTTATTTTTTAGGGTAATATTTTATATTTTAAATATTTATTTATTTATTTTAATATGCATTATATTTCATACATCTATGTGTTGCATTTTTTTGATATTTTAAATATATTTTTTAAATATTAAAAAATTTTAAAATTTTTATTTTTATTTTAAATATATAGTTTTATTTTAAATATTTTATTTTATTTTATAAATATATTTTTAAATATTTTATTTTTTTGTTATGCGTTTGATTACGATTTGAATGTAGAGTTTTAAAAATAGTATGGAGTGTCGAGTTATGTGTTTGGTTATGAGGTTTGAAAATAATTTTTGAATTGAGTTTTGAGTTATGTGTTTGGTTACGATTTGAGTGTGAAATTGTGTTTTGAGTTTAAAATATTAAAATTAAAATATTAAAATATTTACAAAATAAAATAAAATATTTAAATAAAAATTATATATTTAAAATAATTTTTTTTTAAAACGTTTTTTAATATTTTAAAAAAATAAATCTAAAAATACTGTTCCAAACACTCCAAACCTATCCTCCAATCCAAAACATTTTTTACTAATATTTTCAAAGGAAGGGTAATAAGGTAATTTTCTAAGGAAAAAGTAACACCGTTTAGTGATTTTTGATAGCAGGGGGAATCTTAATATTGTCAGGTAAAGCAGGGGAGGTTACTGTAATTATTCAAACCACATGGGAGGTCCCTGTATTTGTCAGAAACCTCAGGGGAGGTAAATGTAATTTACCCTTTTTTTTATTATTATTTTTGAGTTACACACCTAGATTGCAATCTCATATTGGGTTTAAATTCTCTCAAATTAATTTTCTTAACTTGAGAGCATATTTAGACTTGATAGGCTAATTTTAGGATTAATTTCAGTGATCTAAATTGTTCACTTTTTAATATTTGTTGAGTAAAATATTCATACAAAAAATTAAAATTATCAAATATTAATAACTACATATTTAAATTATATTTGTACTATAAAAAATAAATTACTATTTTTAAAATTATAATTACCGTTTATTTTTTAAAAATAAAAATATTCAAACATATAAATAATGTCACGTTATAACTCATACTAACCCATTAACCTTTGGAAATGCTATTGCTCGTTTAATAGAGATGGAATTGATGTGGGGTGAGGTTCACGTGTCAATGAATTTAAGTAATAAATTAATAAATTTTGATAAAATTTGAGATAAATTTTTTGGATTTGTAATATTTAAGGGTTGTTTGGGATGTTCTAAATAAGTGTATTTTTTAAATTTTTAGACTAAAAAGTTGAGGAAAAAAATATGATTGTTTAGGTTAACTTTTTGACTTTTTATAAAAAAATATGTATTAAAAAATTGTATAAATTAGTGTGTAGAGAAAAATTAGGATTCGAAATTGTGCAGTCGTACTTTTTGACTTTTAGTGAATAGTGATAACTTTTTACCTTTTTGAATAACTTTTTGACTTTTTCACTTTTTAAACACATGTCAAACTTGACTTTACTGTTACAAAATTATTAAAAACTTTAAAAAAAATTTATTAAATATCTTATTCGAATGTAAAATTTACATAAAATTTATATAATGTAAGTACTATATCCATATAAAAATTTGATAAAATTTTTAATAAAATTTTTGAAATGTGCTCTCAGTGTTAAGCTTTTGAACTGTAACCGTCAGTTTTGTCTGATATGGACACGAGGAAAATCATTCAGCCGCACCACTGAACGGTATTGCACTCCAGCTAAGGAATAAAATAAAGTCATGTAACGTTTATATATCTATACATAGTGGGGGAAGTAAACATCAGCTATATGTAAGGCACTTTTTTCCTCACACAAGACAACCATTCACAGAGTTCCACGTCACCGAATATATACTCCCTTCAATCTCAATCTATGTGAGTGTTTGAGAAGTGAATTTTTATGTAAGTTTTTTTAGTTGCAGAATATTATTGGAGAAAAAATTTTTGGTGTTTGAAAAAATAGTTGGATTTTTTATGGTTAGATATGATGTTTATGAGAGAAAAAATGAAATGATTATGGGTTGAATGTAATATTTTGTTTGAATTTTTTTTTTTGATTTTGCAAAAAATTTGTCTTGCAGTGAAAAATCAAAAAAAAACCCAACCCACAAACTTCCCATTATTTGAAAAGTTAACTATTTTACTAGATTATGTAAGTTTTTGACTATTTTAGTAAGGCCTTATTTGTTATAATCTAAAAAAGTTAAAAAGTTAAAAAATTAAAAAGTCACTATTCTATTTAAATCACGTCATCTTATTTAAATCACATCATCTCTCTATCACATCACTTCAAACTCAACCCATACATAACTCATATTTCATAAAAAGTAAAAAAATATACTTATTTACATCATTCCAAACTGCCCCTAAGTTAAAATATTTATATTTGGAAAGTGGCTAAAATTTTTTATAATTAGATCTGATATTTATAAAAGAAAAAATAAAATTATTATAAATTTTATGTGATATTTTATCTTATTAACTGTTTTAACGTATTTTATTTTGTTATAAATTTTAATCAAAAAAAAAAAATCAAAACCCACTTGCCAAACAGGGCCAAAACTCCCCTAATCCTTCCAGTTCAAAAAAAAAAAAAAAAACCCTAATCCCAATCCCAATCCCAATCCCAATCCCAATCCCAATCCATTTTAGCTATATAGCGCCCATCACAGGACAGTTACAAGTAAAAAAAATATCTTCCAATTCACTACCCACCAGGTGAGGAAGGGTCTGGTGGCCTGGCCCTGGTGGGTGATGTGGTTGCCTTTAAAGTCACTGCTACCACACTATACCTCTTCCTTCCTTGCACCATCCATCTCCTACAAGCTCATTGAAGAGAGAGAAACTCAGAGAGAGAGATGGGGAATTGCCAAGCCATTGATAATGCAACTCTGGCAATACAACACCCATGTGGTAGAGTGGACAAGCTGTATTGGCCTGTCAATGCCAGTGAGGTTATGAAAATGAACCCTGGCCATTATGTTGCTCTTCTCCTCACCACCACCACCACCACCACCACAGGCAGCCACAACAGCAGTAATTCGGTACGCATTACGCGTATTAAGCTTCTCCGGCCAACGGATACTCTAATTCTTGGCCAAGTTTACAGGCTTATCACCACTGAAGGTTTGTCTTTTTGGGCTTTTTGTGTTTTTGTGTGGAGTTTATTAGTTTAAAACAGTTATCTTCTATAGCTAAGATTTGTATGGTTTCTGTGTTACAGAGGTCATGAAAGGATTGTGGGCAAAGAAGTATGCTAAGATGAAGAAGAGGCAATCAGAATCACCTGATAAGCAAGAAAGGATGAAAGAGAAGATGGGTTCTGATTCTGAGATGAAGAACACCAACCAGGTGAATCTCTCTCTCTCTCTCTCTCTCTCCATATATTAGAAGTTTAAATGTTGCAATTTAAGACAATTTCATGAGAGATTTGCGAGGAAGTACCTTTAGTTCTGCTTGAAGCCCACATCTTTTGCTTATAATTCATAATTCAGACAGAACTACAACCATAAAGAAAGTTAGTTCGATAAAGTGAAGGGTGAACATTGTGCATAGTAAAGATTTTCTTTTCCTCTCTCTATATTATTCATTCTAAGTCATGAAAAATGGTTCTATAATTATATATACAACATTTCAGGTGCAAACACATGAAAGGCATCGACCGAGGACGACCACAACAGGGAACTCTGCGGCTGCCAAATCAAGAGCATGGCAACCTTCACTGCACAGCATCTCTGAGGCCACAATCTGATTATGTTTCTCTTATTTCCATACCAAACCAATTGCATGAAACAGAGATGACTTGAGGTGGGCAATCTGCTGACCCAAGGATTCAAAATCATTGTTCATTTGCAGTGTTGTGAGTGGATAGTCGCTGCAATTCTTTCCTTTTAGACATAGAAGATAAACCGAGTTATGCAATCTTAACAAAAAAAAAATTGCCAAAAAAAAAAAAACTAATATGACAGGAGTAAACAAGATTATTAGAGACAACCCTGTAAGGGAAATTAAAGAATCTCAAGTAGAAACATGCATTTGTATGTGTTTTCTAGGTACATTTCATTTACGTTGTGATTGCATCTTGTATTTTCTTAGGGAATGAAAAACATATACAAAAAGAAAATGAATAGAAAGAAGCTAAAATTCCTTTATTTTGTTTGGTTGGGTTAGAAAGTGCGATGAAAATGAATAGGTATTTCATATTTGTTGAAATTGTTTGGTTATCCATAAACAAATGAATATGTTTAAGTAATTTTGTTTCGCATTCCAAGATCCAAACATATCGATAGTGTAAACAAGGCAGTTCTATTATTTGGCTTGCTATGCACCCAAAAGTCAAGAAAATTTCCCCCAAAGTCTAAGCTGCATCATTAATATGGCCAGCCAGGATTTTTAGTCCAAGAACAAAATGGGGTCCCAATAATATAAATAGAAAACTGTTCTAATTGCTACTGTGCTACCTTTTATAATTGTGATTGACTTTGACAATAAGGTCTATTACAATTATAAAATGTATAATAGACCTTATTGTCAAGCCCACTTTTACATTTGTGATTAGGAAAAAATAGACCTTATAATCCTATACATAAGTGTTTAGGAAAAAATAGTGGACATATACATTTGTGATTAGTGGAAGGTAGTACCACGTGATATCCTATTGACATATAAAAATTTCTCTTGTGAAAGACATTCATAACTATTTGATTTGATTGTTCAAGTAGATGTAGACGGGATTTGATGAATCTAAAACGCAGACAATTGCGAAAATGTATCGGTCAATATAAAACAAATGCTGTCACTCAACATATCTGTTTAAATATGAGATTGATTGGTAGGGTTTATACGAGTACAGTTCTAGCCGAACAGTGGTATATACATTTCCCACTTTTAATCAAGCCCGTTACCAACTTTTCATTCATTAGATTCACTTTCCTTTGCATTTTTCCCTTGTAAAAGGAGAAAAAAAAAAAGGTAGCATGCTTTTTGAGTCCTTTTTACCTTGCACATAAATCGCCAGTTTCTACTCAATAAGTACATCATGCATGTTGAGTTGTTCATTTGTAAAAGACGAATAAAGTAGGGGAACCTGAAGAGCTAAACAGTCAATTCAAGTTTAGTTACACTAACTGTAAAGGGGGATACTCTGCATATGACTGCAAAGGAAACATACTTAACACTTCACAGCTTTACAATAAGCAAGAAACAAGAAAAGAAAAGGAAATAAAATAGAAAATGATTATTTTCATGCGCAAATAATAAATGGTGGGAGGGCAGGGGTTACAAAATACCTGTAATCATCATGCCTGTGCAATTTTGACTGAAAGTAATCATATCGATCATTCTTTAGTGTTTTGGAAGATGTGGAATCATTGTTACCACGCATGAGACCATTAGATCCTTCTCTTTCTTTCAGCATTCCACAGCAATCAGGCTAGGAAGAAAAGCATAAGATAGCTTTTTCTTTCTTTTTAGGCCTTAAGTTTTAATATCGAATATCTTTAAGCGGAAAGAAACCTTTAAATAGGACAATTGCAAGTTTGCAATGACATTAGATTCTCAAAGTTCAAGAAAATAATTATAATTCCTTGCTAGTGAGACATTAAAGTATATAAACGTATGTATGCCACACATATATCATGTATAATATTGCTTTGGTTCTCTAAATCATTAGACTAATATAACAGTGAGGATCCACCCAACATGAAACACAATCATTAGTACAGTCAACTAATGGAGTTATCAGCAGCTTATAAAATTTTGAATTAAAGGCATTAAAGTACCTAATCGAGGTAGATGTGTCATGTATCTTCCTGCAGGTTGAGTCTTCCATAACATGAAAGGGTGAAAACTTCCAGCTTGCTGAAACCGTATACATCTAGCCGATTGAAAATTCCTTGTCCTTCTCTTTTTTATTTTATTTTTATTTTTTATTTTTTACTTTATTCATTTATTTATTGGTTTTCAGTGAGAAAGTTTCTCATTTGTCCAACAGCTGCTTGAGGTTCGTAGAAGAACACCAAATCCAATGATTTTTCCAACCACCTTCTTTGTGGCAAATACAGGTGGTCCATCGAAAGACTTTGGGGGGCAACGATCATTGATTGATTCTATCTTCATTCAACTTGCATTTCCCCCCATTAAAAACACAAAAGGACATATAACTACCAGTAATCATTGCAGGAGCAATCTCCTTCTTTGAAAGTGTGGAAACGAGAACGGTCTCTAACAATAATTTCTCTACCAAAGACTTTGGAAATGGCCTTTAGTGCTAAATGACAATCTTCACAAGTCCTTAGATTTTTCACTATCCGAATTGCAGTCCCTGGTAGAGTACTCATCATGGCAAAAGCAACAGCTAACTTTTCACTGTGCCAAGCCACTGCTTGCTCTTTCTCTTCCTCACTCAGATCAAATGAAACTTGCATTGTTTTGGCGACGTAGCCTCTCAGGCTTGCCTTTTTCAAAATTTCATTCAAATTGTCTCGTATTTCTGCAATTTGTGGATGAAATGTATCAGCAACTCGAAACTCATGAACAACACCACCCACCTCAATCCAACTACACCCAGGGTTTGATTCATTCCTTCTCTCACCCATTAGCTTCCTCACTTCAACCACTCCCTCCCATCTACCTAGAGATGCATACAAGTTCGAAAGTAGCACCTCACCTCCATCACAACTTCGAGAATTTAGTTCCCCAATGTGATTTACGATGCACTCTGCAAGATTAGCATCACGGTGGATTCTACAGCCATTAAGCAAAGACCTCCATATAATAATGTCAGGGTCCATGGGCATGCTCTTCACAATTTTGAATGCCCTTTCTAAGTAACCTGCACGGCCAAGTAAATCAATATAACACCCGTAGTGCTCAATCTTGGGCACAACACCCCACAAGCTCTCCATATTGTAGAAGATTGAAGAACCTTCATCCACAAGACCAGAATGGCTACATCCATTTAAAACCCCCAAAAAGGTGATCTCATTGGGCTTAACATTCTCAACTAACATTTGATAGAAAACACATAAAGCATCATTACCACGTCCATGAATCGATAATCCTGAAATCATGCTTGTAAAATTGTGAATATCCTTTCTAGAGATTCCATTGAAAACTTGAGCAGCACAATTGATCTTTCCACATTTTGCGTACATATCAATAAGAGCAGTAGAAATGTTTGAGCTCACTGAAATTCTACTCTTGCCTATATAACCATGGATCCAATTTCCTTGATCCAAGGCTCCTAGATGAGCACAAGCAGAGAGTGCACAAACAAGAACAGCCTCACTGGCTTGGACCTCATCATCACATAGCATGTCACTGAAATAGCTTAGGGCTTCAATATACCTTCCAACACCAACAAAACCCGAAATCATAACGGTCCAGGATACATTATTACGCAATGGCATCTTATCGAAAATTTCACAGGCTCTACCCATCTCCCCATGTTTCGCATACCCACATAGCAGACTAGTCCACGAGGACACGTCCCGGTCAGACATTTGATCAAACACTTTGTGGGCATCCTCCAGTTTCACAAAAACAGAGTACATACTGATCAAAACATTGCCTACATATAAATCCGATTCAAACCCATTTTTCACCGCCATCGAATGAACCATTTCACCATATACCAAAGACAATTGATGCGAACACGAAGTGATGACAAAAGTGAAAGTGTATTTGTCAGGGTCAAGGCCTAAAGCGAGCATTCGACCGAATAGTATGATGGGTTCTTGACAATTGTGAAGCTTAGAGTAAGCTCTGATCATGATATTCCATAAGAGAGTAGGTGGTGAAGGAAATGGATAGCTATTGAATAAAGTTCTTGAAGTGGTTAAGTCCTTGGAAGAGAGGTAACAATGGATGAGAGAATTAGTTAGGGAAGGGTATGATTGGATAAGGACTTGGGCATGGATTTGTTTGAGGTGAGAGAGCGATGGACGTTGCTTGAGAAGTTGGGAAAGTGTTTGTGTATTTGGGTGGAGAAATGGGTTTGTGTTGGTTGGTTTGGAAATGGAGGGAGAGGTGGTTGATGAACAAAATGAAAGACAAGTTGGAAGTTGAGAGTGTTTGATAAGAACAGTGAGGTTTTTAGCTTTGGACCTTGGAATTATATGCATTTGATTTGAAGTTTTGCAATGAGGACAGAATATGGTGTTTGAGTGTATGATATGATGCTTTTTTGCTTAATAAAGGTGCCTTATATGTCATGTGCAAAATGGTAATAGTGACTAGTATTTGGTATGGAAAATTATAAATACACCAGCTTAAAATAAGAATTATTTTTAGGGAATTTTTTTTTTAGATTCCCTCGTATTAAGATTTTATAATATAAAGGGCATTCAATATTTTCATAATGTCTAAGGTTCCTCGTACATCGATCTAGAGAAATTTCAATCTAGAGAATTTCTTTAAACTTTTCAGAGAAATTCTTTCCAAATCAGAGAAATTTTCTCTGTGATTTGAACAAATCAAAGAAAATTAGACTACTTAAAAATCAAAAACAATCATAATTTTCTCTGTATTTTGAACAAACCAGAGAAAATTGAACTACTTAGAAACCAAAAACAATCACATGTGATTGTTTTGAATAAACCAGAGAAAATTGGCCTACTTAGAAACCAAAAACAATCACAAATTTCTCTGTGTTTTGAACAAATTAGAGAAAATTTGGCTACTAAGAAACCAAAAAATAATCACAATTTTCTCTGTGTTTTGAACAAACTAGAGAAAATTGGGCTACTTAGAAACCCCAAAAAAAAAAAAAAATCACAATTTTCTCAATATTTTGAACAAACTAGAGAAAATTAGGCTACCTAGAAACCAAAAACAATCACAATTTTTTTCTATGTTTTGAACAAACCAGAGAAAATTGTGATTATTTTTCTTTATGATTGTTTTTCTAAGAAGCATTTTATCAAACAAGTTAGCTTCAAAGCTCACAATTATATGTTTTACAGTTCTAAGAAGAGTTTTGTCAAATCAAATCTCACAGTTATGTGTTTTGGAGTTCTAAAAAGCATTTGTCAAACAATTTAACTTCATACTATATATATAGATGTTTGTATGTGTATGAATTGTGTGTGTATGTGAGAGAGAGAGAGAGAGAGAGAGACCTTGTTCCAAGACCAGTAAAGGACGAAGCCAGAGAAAAAAGAACTAAGAGAAGCTTACTAGGGCTTTCAAACATGAAAGTGACAGTATCACTTCCATTATCGGCCTTGATGGTGATGATTTCATTGTTCACTCCCGCTGTTGAGTTGTCTTCTCGTCGCAGTATGCTTCGATTTCGATATCGGTGAAATTGTCCATGATAATGATGCTTTGAGCTTCGATTGACGAAAGAGAGAGAGTTGGAGAAGACAACGATGACGATGAACTCCGATGATAGAGGTGGAGTTCGTCGGAGAGAAAAGAGCAGAGAGAGAGGCAGTTTGATTTGAGGTGATTAAATTTCTCTATAATATATAGGTATCGGGGGTTAAGGGACTTTAGACATTACAAAATAATATTGTGGATTTCTTCCATTACTAAAAATGGGAGAGGGACCTTAGACTAATTTTTTCTTATTTTTATAGTTTTAGAAATTACATTTCATTATTTGAAATTTGAAATTTTTTAATAAATAATCTTTTGTATTAAAAAAATTTAAATCAATTAATAGTTTTTAATGATATCAAAAAAAAATTAATAATTCAGATAATTTTATTATTGTATCGGAGAGCACTTAGGAATTTTATTCTTTTGGTTAGTTTTTCTTGGGGAATTTTCAAAATGGTTTTTAAAATGTGTAGTTTAGTTTTTGGGTGTTTTCAAAACCTTCCTTGTTTTTCTTTGGAAAGCTTGAAATAAGTTTGGGGACTTTGTCCCACATCGAAAAGAAAGAAAAACATGGAGCACTTAATAAATTGCTACATGGAATATTCCTTTGAATATGGAATTGTGAGGTGAAAGCTAGTGGCATGCACCCACACCACAAGGATGGTGCTTCGTACCATCTGCACACGCGCGCGCAGTGTGGGCTATGTGGCGTTTGATGGCGCACTTTGCACTTGGCATGGACGTATCAGCGCAAGGTGCCATAAGGGCGCTTTCCTATTTGCATTGGATATGTTGGAGCGATGATGTGGATCCAACGTGGCATGGGTGACGTGGAATACAGTCAGCTCCAAGTGGCAATGACGTGGCATCCGTTGGCGGTGAGTCAACCAACCGATCGAACGGTTATATGTCTAATCTGGAGCGATTTGATCATAACCGTTGATTGGAGATGCGCTCGATCGTGATCAGGTGTGATTAGTCAAGGCATCTATTTTGTGTGAGAATGATCTGCACCGTAGATCATTGATCTAACGGTCAGATCTGATCAGATGCGATCAAGGGACATGACCATTTGATCAGGTGCATCAAGGCCTATAAATAGGCTGCAAAATCAGCTATTTCATTCCATCCACAAAATTCAAAAGCATTCCTACAATTATCTCTCTCTCTCCCTCTTGATTTTGAGTTTTCGATCAAGAGTTTCTTTAAGCAATTTCTTTTTTTCTTACTGGTAATCAAGTTCTACAGATTTGATTATCAATGTCTTGGTTTTCTTGATTGTATCAAGAGTATTCTGATTTATTGTTGTCAGTGTAGACGTCGATAGACTTGATCTTTAGAACAGGCTTTATTGTATCCTGGAGGCAAATTTGCTGTAACCCTCTGCACACTTTTTGGTGGGTGCAAATATTGTCTTTAGGAAAGCGGCTTTCTAACGCTACTTGAAGTATCAAATTTCTGTTTTATATAGACAAGTTCATCGCCAAATTTTGAAGACCCGAAGACCACCAATTGAAGAATTCAAGACAAATTGTTCCAACAATCTAAAGACAATATATAGATATGGCGATGTCTAATCAAAAAATGACTCAAGATTTCATGAAGATTGACTATTTTAATAGAGAAAATTTCTGATGCTGGCAAAAGAAGATGCACTTTTTGCTCACCACTCTCAAAGTGGTCTGTGTGCTAACTACCCCATATCTGGTGGAGCAAGAAGACGAGACTATGGAGCAAACCTGTACCAGGACCAAATGGGAGAATGACGACTACATTTGCCGAGGACACATTCTGAATGCGTTGTCAAAGTCTCTGTTCGATGTGTATCAACATCTGGAAATGGCAAAGCAACTCTAGGACATATTACAGTCAAAGTACCTCACCGAGGATACCACTAGGAAGAAATTTCTTGTTAGTAATTTTATGCGTTTTACTATGATTGATACAAAGCCCATCATGGAACAATTCCATGAGATCCAACATATTCTGAGTCAGTTTCGACAAAAGAATATGAACATGGATGAATCTATTGTAGTTTCATCTATAATAGAGAAACTGTCATCTTCTTGGAAGGATTTTAAGAAAACTCTGAAACATAAAAAAGAAGATCTTACTTTAGAGGAATTGGCTCAACACCTCCGAGTTGAGGAATAGTCAAAGCTTCTTGAAGGTAAAGATAACCAATTGGCTCAGACTTCCAAGATCCACATGATGGATGATGGCAAGAGGTTTAACAAAAAGAAGCTACCATGACCCAAACTCGCCCCTATAGGTTTAGCGTCGTAACTGGCCAGGAATCCGCGATTACTGAAGGCCTATTTAACAATAATGACAATAATACAATATAAAGGGGCTGGCAGAAGCCAATCAATAATAACATACATCGTCCAATGAGCTATGAGGACCTGAATAGAAATAAACTTTCATATACATAGTTATATACACAAATACTTAAGTCCATAACACACATTTGTACATAACAGAACATAAGCTAGGGAATTAAATTTAATTTCCAAAAACAGTTAACAAAACTCAATAAACATTCTTATCTCATAAACACAATGTCAAAATGGTGAATTTGAATCACCTAATAAGCCCTGACATGTAATGGTTCAGAATCTCGCAGTGAGACACAGTAGTTGGCTTGACAAAAACAGGATTCAGATCGACGCCGCTAACTCTGATCTGGTGCCCGATCACCTACATATATAATAAACAATGAGCTAGAGCCCAGTTAATAACATCTGCATAAAGGGGTTATGAATGATGTCCTCACAATATTTGAAATAATCGATTATCAATAAAACATTTTCTCAATTAATATCCTGTGTCAATCAATCATTCAATCGTTCAATTTAACAATCATTCAGATTCATATAAGTCATATGCGGTACATCCAATAGCAACAATACAATTGGTCTTAAAGACCGAACAATCAATTGATGGCCATCAAACAATAGACAATAGTTCCAAAAATTGGAACTAACAGAAATCTCTGTAATAATAACGATAACAATAGCGATAACAATATGCTATGGATGTCACGAGTACAGTTCAGAAAATAAGACAATCATTCATCAATAAACATTATCATTTTAGTAAAACAATACATTTTTATCAATCAGAAAATAATTACAATAGAACATAGTTTTACAATAGTGTTACTCACAATGGGCTCCTGAAAACACGTGTTATTCATGCGGCGTCCGACCTAAACAAATAAAGTCGAGCACAACACAATTACAATCACACTCATATAATTCTATTCAATTCGATTTCACTCGTTCGGTTCTAATCGCTCATTCGTTCGATTCAATACACTTATGTAATGCAAATGCATGTTTAAGCACTTTAAAACCATGCAAAGGAGGCTTGGAGGATGGAGAAAAGAAGCAAAAATGAAACCAAAATTTTTCCTGAAACCGCACGTGCAGCAGCCCCATTCTACACGTACGAAACTGCTAAAAATGTAGCCCGAAAATATGCTTTGTTTTTGGAATCCTTCCTTTCAAAATCTAACTTCATAATTTGTATAATTCAATTCCCAACTCCTCAAAAATAGTTATGAACTTTAATTTGAAACCATCAATTTCAAACCATAAATTTATAACAATACTTAATTGTTCAATTTATAACCAAAAATCTTTAAAGCAAATTGTAAAATCTTAAAATGTGTATTCAAGCTACAACTCAAATTTTTAAATAGAATTTCTTAGAAATTATGAGAGACCAAGCAAGAATTCATGTATATAAAAAAAATTTGTCCATGAGATGATCATATTTCTTGGACTCAAACATTTTCAAGTGTAAAATCACCATTATATATACAAATTATGTTATTTTCCATAACTTTTGAGATTTCCTTCTT